AAGGCTAGGCATAGCATGTATTAATTTTAGGAAACACTTAGATAAAAACCCAGAGGGAAGCTGGAAGATACGGTGAATAGAAAGTGACAGTGAATATTCATTAGCTGTCCAAATTCGATTGCAACACTGAACACAGTACCCTAAATCCTATTATCTACAGTGAAATCTGACTTTAAAAAAAAAAGTCAACCCATTGAGTTTGGACTTATTATAATGGCCTTTTATGTGTAACAGTATCCCACAGTGATTTTGCTGTAGTAAGAAACATGTGAGAGCCATACAAATATTAGCTCAAAGTTTCTACCACAGACTCCAACAGAAGGGAAAAAATACTCAGCAAATTCACAGAGAATTCATCCTTTCTCTGAGTCACTGCAAATCTATATTAAACTGCAATTTCCCCAGGTTTCTGAAATTCCTGCAGTCCATAGAAAAAGATTGTTCATTCCTACCACTCCTTGTAATGATGGGGCCAGCAGAGATTACAGCATTGCCAGATGTGCTCTGAGGGCTCCAAGTTGTCCTCCCACCAGCATCTCTCCTTTCTCTGTTACTGCAAATCTGAGTGGTCAATCAAAACAGTCACAGATTCAGAGTGGAATAGAATTAGGGTCCTTTTGTTCTTCCTGCTCTAATGTAAACTCTTTGGTAAGTAATACTACAACTTCATTTCTTAATATGCTTTAGATTATTTTGCAATAAAAACAGCTGCAATATTCCCTAGAAGTGTATCTTACAAATGCCTGCCTTCCCATTGTATTTTGCCTCACTTTGTTTACAAAACTACATCACTGTTGTGCACAAGATCCATCCTGAAGTATATTAAATTTTCAGTAGTTAATTTCCCAAAGCTATGTTTACAGACAGTTTTCCCCAACAAATATGTTCTGCTTGACAATCCCTACCCTAGCAAGTTTCTCAATTGAGAATTTCCACATTTGGAGTTCTAAACAGCAAAGACTCACACTAAAAGAATCCCCAGCACTCTCATCTGGAATCCACCTTTCACATCTGTAACCTATTGTCTGCCTTCATGATCTTGGGTACTCAAGCATGCATCAACCAAGAGCATTTCTTTAATGTGAAAGAACATGTTTCTTGTGAAAGAACTTCAAAAACCTCAGAACATAAATTGAATACAAAATGAATTATGTAAAAGTGTAACATGAAAATATAAAATAATGTATAAAATTTCAGAAGTATACTGAACAGGTAGCACTTTAAAAATCTAAATGAGAAGTCATTCAATAGGAAATGCTGCATTCTGAAGATGTCACAGAACATTCTGTGTTTATATATTTATTTAAATGCCTCAATTTCCAAAATGTATTTGTTGTTCCTGGCACTCCTAAAATCAGACAATTTTGAATTGACCTAACTTCATGAACTTCAGGTAGTTTCAAAACTATAATGGAGGTGATAATAGACTATACGAGACACAGTATTTTTTCACTACAAGCAACTCATACAAGTTTTCCTTGTCAGTACAGCAGCATTTCCTACACCTTTAAGTATTCCATAAATTCTATTCTAAGGCATTTCTGTTCATTCACTGTGATTATGAATACCTTGCTGCTATACTAAGAACATCAGCTCTAGAGCTGTCTGCGTGTGGTTACTTTTAAAAATTAAGGACCACAAGGTGAAAAGGTCTTTTCTCATGTTCATTTCTCATGTCTTCAACAACCTATGCTTTGCAGGTCTAGTATTACTTTATCTCCAGATGAGAATATTCATTTCCATATTCTTCACTAGTTGTTTCACATTCCTTTAGACACAAAAAAGTTAGTTAATTCAGTCCCTGCAAGTCACCTTCATTCTGTGCCATCCAAACTTCCACGGCATTTGCATGCAGAAGAAGTCCAGTGCCTATTTTATACCCAGATATTTAACAACAGCTTCTGTCCACTGAAACTTACTGGCACAAGAAAGGGACAATCATCTGCTCTGCACAACTTTGTCACGCAGTGAAGGAACACCGTTGACATCTTCTGGTTCTTGTGTTTCACAAAGCGAAACACCTCAAAGGAAAACCGGCCCATTTGACTCTTGCCATTTTCAATTATTGTTGTCTGTGGGTCCTTGTCACAGCTGTTTTTCATAGAGAAGAGTAAAACTAGGATGAGCAACTATTAGTATTTTGAAGCTCTTAGATGAGAATAAAATAACAGAAGCAGAAAGTTCAGTGCTTTAGTTCCTTGGAAAAGAACACAGTGTAACATGGGCAGACACAATCTGCCTGTTCGGTTGCACATCCTGTGCTGAAACACATTCACACAAAAGCACCACACTTTGTTTTGCAATGCCACAGCTATAACCAAGGTACTATTTAATTCCAGAATTAAAGAAACTTGAGACCCGAAGCAAAAAAGCAATCAGGTATGCTAACCAGTATAGACAGGTAACTCCAAAGGAAGACGGTATCTCTCCAGTAACTGTCACAGATAAAATTTTATCTGAGATACTTCCAAGATGTTTTTCAAAGTTCCAATTCAAATAAATGTTATTACTTGAAGGAGAAGCAAGAGAATCTATTTATATTCAATCATTTGCTTAACTACCTTCCTAGTCTGGAGTCTATGATGTTTTACGTCACTGTCATTCACCACATTTACCTTTGGTAAAATAAAGGCCAGTTTAGCTATTCAGTTTGAGTGTTTATGTTATCTCTAGTAGAGCTATTTTGGATATATGGTTTCCTACCTTCATAATTCTTATGACTTTGCATTTGCTTCTATGTTTATGTTCACACATAAGATTAAGTTCTGACATTTTATCTATAAGCCTATCCCTTGGTCCTCCGTGGTAATAATGCTTAAACTTTCCAGGAAGCTTAGGGCACCACTGCTGGAGAGATTTGTAATTTTTTTTTCTAAGGAAGGACAACAAAATATTAGGTTAACACAGGACCTACCTTAAAAAAAGGTCATATCGAAGGTCATCATTAGGATTACCAGATGGAGTGGTGTAACAATAGTCCATCAAAACATTCCACCTGCACAGGGAGTAAAGTGATAGATAAGGTGATTAGACAACAGAAGAGCAGGGGTGGAGAGTGAGATACGTAAAAGACAGATAGGAAAGCATATAAACAGATAATGTAAGCTGTTACATAGAACCCTGAATTACTGTATTTGAAAAGTCACATTTGAGTCATTCTGTTTCTTCACACTGCTTAAAAAATGAAACAGCACAGCACATCAGCAGAATTGTATAAATCGAATCATTTGGTTTTATGCAAGTCAACCATCATAAGTCATGGCCACAGAGGACTAGAATTGAAAACCAACCCACTTCTGAAAGTTTTGGATTTTTTCACTTGATCTAAGAGAGGACTTTTCTTAAATGTAACCAATATAGGATTTAAAGTATAAACCAGGAAAACTTTCATAACAAGAACCTCAGCAAAACATGCATTACCGATCAAGAACTTGATACCTTCCTTTGGGAGATAATTGAACACCAACCATTATTTTGACACACAAAAAAGCTACAAGGAAAGATGGATGCTTCTAAATCAGAAAAAAATTGCAACACCAAGAGCTGAATAGAAAGCAAGACAATAATATCCTTTATGGTACCTGCCATCAAGGTTGGTTGCTCTTACAGCTGCATAAATTTTGGTTTTCAAAGGTAAACCTGTACTTGGAATAAGGAGCTGCTGGCTGTATGTTGAATCCTGAAAAACAAATATTGCCTCATTGTAACAGAAATTCCACTTTAACAATCCACCTGCATCCACAGACTGAACTCCCTATGATTTTTCTGGTCTTTCAATATAGGATGATCATTTACTTTGTCCCCTGTAAAGGAAGAAGCAAAAAGCAGTTCCAGAGCATTTTCCTACACATTTGTCTATGAAGATGAAAAACATTTGACAGGCCTCTTTCTATGCAACTATTTGGGAGAATCTGTTTATAATTTAATGAAGCGGTCGGATCACTGATTAAAGAAAAGGTACCATTCACTGACACTCCAGTAAGTCTCCCAGGGCCCACAGGCAAATGTAGCAGCTACTGTGGTTTCCTAAAGGAGGAACTTAGCTGGGTGGTCACAGTGTACCCTTTCCCAGGAAATGTTGTTTAGTTTATGTGAATTAGAGGACATAGCAATGCCACCAGGTTTTATATATCTTAAGCTATAATCCAGGAGAACAGACAGATTTTGTTAAGCAAAATGTAGTTTTTACGGAAGTTGGCTTATTGAAGATTGCAAGTAACAAATTCTTTCATTTAAATTCTAATAGTTCAAAAGAACTGTTTCAAGAAAGCTGTATTCAACATAAAAGTTGGGAATTCCCCATATACTTCTACATAGATATAGTTATTTTATCATTTTCTTGTTCACAAGTCTGAACTGTAATGTCACTTGAGTAACAAAGCCATGAAACAGATCTGTGTGACAGATGTTAATTCAGCATATTAAAACGCACTTACTGATAACATCTATGTCAAATAGGTTGGTAATGCCAATAGCACAGGCACTCAGCATGTTGAGACCTCTTGTGAGAGCTCAAAACACTCAACATGCATGAAAAAATTTGTTACACAGAATTTTGACCAGGTTCAGTGTGGCAAGCAAGGCCACAGCAAGCAGTAGTTTACAGCAGCAAGAAGGATTAAGTACAAAGCTCAAGTGATTCTTTTCAAAGGTAACAATGCCAAAATTCACAGCATGCCCAGTATCCAAACTGTGCAGCATCAGAGCCCATGGAAGGTACACATGCACAGAAAGACCAGCTCAGATATACACAGAACAAGTCCTTGGAGATCCATTCAAGGGAAAACAGGTTTGCCTTCTTTCAAATTAGTTTTACATTTCTATAACACATATTCTGCCACATTTTGCAACCGATTAAAAAGTGCAAGATCCTCACTATTACATTACATAGTTGTTCTTTTATTCTTATAAAGTATTTTTTACTCATTTAGACAGATATTTGCAAGAAGGCATAAATATATATATCCACTTAAGGTCTGTGAAAGCCCATTTTGCTGTTAAACTCTGAGTCTATCATAAGGGCTCCTCTTGTCTTTCCTAACAATGACATGTACCAACATCACAAAATAAATGTAAACAACACCTTGTGAGGGAAGGTAAGAGTTGAGCTGAAAAGATTGCCAGTCAATCTTGAGAAATAACACTACAGCTAAAGTTTGAAAGTTTGCCTACTTGCAGCCAAGAGATGCCTCAGTACACAACCCCTCACCAATACCAAGAGCTGACATAAGTCTTGAGGTCCCTCCCAAAACCAGGATTTCTAACAGGGACCGAGTGAACCCACAAGACATTAAGTGTCCAAAGAACTGGGCAAAATGCAGGTAATGCACAAGCTGTCCCTCCATTTATCCAACCCTAGGATGTGAAGCAGAAGTGAACATCCATCACTTGAATCTGCCAGCGTTAGCAGTGTTATTCACGACAGTGCTACTCACTGGGGTGAGTAATACGACTGAAATCAGAAAGACAAGACACTCCTGTTCATGGTCAACTTGAAAGCTTGCTGGAATAGGGAGGATAAAGCACATCTTGGCATGTGGTATTTAAGGAAAAAACTGTGCTCAATACGACTACCACTAACATTTATTCCTCACTCATTTCTGAGTTGGGCCCTAAAGGCAGCAAATACATTGTGGTCAATGCTTGGCCTGATGGAGAAATTTGCCTACCCTCACTCTGCCCCATCTTTTTGATCACAGGTTTATTTAAAAATGAGACAAGTATAATCTTCATTTTAACAGATTATAGGTTGTTATTTGGAGCTCTGCACTTTCAAACAAACATGATTTTTTTAAAGCATGCTGTTGAAAAATGTCCTGTTGCAATATTTATAGCTCATTATGTTCAAAGCATAAAGCATTGACTTTTAAATCAGTTGCATGAATTATAACTCAGCAGCATGATGGCATGAATAATAATGCAAAAAAAATCAGATTCATAATTCACAAAAATGATGTTTGATAGATTGAAAAATTGATATTTAAATCAGGTATTTAAAATGTATGACTAGAAATTTTAATCAACACAAAAACATAATTTCAGAGGTTAATATTAAGTAGAGGTCTGTGCATTTTTCATGTTTTATGGTCACCAACCATTTTTACATGGTAAAAGCTTTTACAGTAAATGCATATTCAAGTTAAATTATCTAAAACATAAGTAAGAAGTGTTGGACGAAAACTGTTATAATTATTAAACCTTAAAAGTCCACACAGTAAGGCAACATATGCAGCGGGCTATAGATCTGGAACAAATTCAACATCCCTCACTACAATTACAGATGATCGAAACACTCTGATGAGGCTTGAGCATAAAAATGCCCCAGCCCAAGTGCTACAGTTTATTGCTAAGGGAATAGGTCTGGAATAATTTTACAGAATAGTACAAAGTACTCTCTGTTTAAGGGCAACGTAGCTATACACATACTCACACACACAAAAATAATAAATGCAAACACAAGCATGCACTCCAGAGTATGATTGTAGTTACTACAACAATTGAGTGGTGACATGGTGCTACACTGTGAAAACCAGAGCTGTAAACTGGGGAGCTGTATAAACACAGGACAGAAAGGCTAAGCGACCTCAAAGATGAACCATGTTAATACAAGACAGCAGATACCTGCAAACAAAAAGAAAAAGGGAATTCAGAAATCAAAGATGCCTGGAAGAAAGGCCTTCTTCATGGGAGGAGTGAGAAGGAAATAGCAAATAATGAAGAGGAATTTGTACTTTGGTCTGGTAATGCAATTTTTACCCACTTAGTGCAGAGATTAATTTAGTTCAAGTCATACTACTGTGGTTTATACTCACATTGTAAAGCAACAAATTCAAAGTGCTGATAAATGTACCGTTGTTCTCTCTTACAGAAATAGCAGCTGATGACCTACAAGAGCATCAGAAACCAAAAACCATCATGAAGAAAGATACCTTATTTTTGTGTTTGCATACTTCAGTGGGTTTTATCATTAAAAAAACTCAATGAGTCATATCACAGGGAGATAATTTATGCATTTGGGTTATAAACTTCAGGAACAGGAATTTATAGTGGAAATACTGACAGTCTTAACTATGCAGAAAATAAGAGATGCTATTGGAAACACAAATCAGAAAAATAATTAGCAGAGAGGCAAAGTAACAAAAAGGAACCCACTTTTCATAATGTACAAGGTTTACTTATGCAAATATTTTCTCTTGCATTCTATATTTACATTCCTACAAACTATTTCATGAAGAAATTCTTTTTTTCCTTTTTTTTTTTTTTTTTTGCTGCTACCATTTTTCATCAGAACATTTGAATTTTAATGGAAATTTTACATTATCTAAGGATCTCTTAATAACCACAGCTCTTCATAAACTATGTTTTCTCATATAATGGTGTTACAGAATTTTCTTTTTCTTTGTATCATCTCTTCTTCTGGTGCCTTTTCCTTTCCCTTTACTCTTACACACCTAAAAATTGCTATGTTGACAATACTGCTATGGCATGAATGTGTACATGCTTACACAAGCGTTGCAATGAAACACATAAAAATTAAAAAGCACACTTACGAAGCAAGCTGGGTATTATTAACCAAGTACTCCAGTGGGTAGCTACAGCTAAATTTGTACAGAAGCCCAGGCAAATAGCTGATAATCGTTGGTGGGTCTGGCGTATCAATATAGCCTGAAACATTACCTATCTGTATCACTGAGGTATTTCCATATGCATTGATACCTCGAGCTGAGGATACCTATTAAGGGAGACAGAAAATTACTATTAACTGAAAGTTAACCATGGAACAAAAAGTATTTAAGGACACCGATGTTTTAGCTCATTATTTATCCAGAAATACCTTCAGTAAGTCCTTCAAAACTTAATTTAGTTTAATAACATGTTCCCCGTGTTCAGTTTTTTACCCCCCTGAAATCATGCGTGTACAGTTCACAAGCTATATCCCTGCTCTTAAAACAGACTTGAGCAACACTTGAAAAAAATTATGAATCCTGGAAGAGCATTTTTTGCTAGGTACTTTTTTCTGACCATTCCCCATGAATTCACATGACTTGCTGGGAAAAACTAAAGGAACTTTGCTATTACTATTAAAAAATATTACCTTAGAATGAGTTTGCATATACAACAGTAAGGCAGATACACAAGCAATTTCATTCACAGAAATAGTTCCCTCAGCGTTGAGCTTTGGTTTTGACATATCAAAAACAACTTACTTTATAAATAGATACAAAACAAACAGCTGAACTTTGTGATTTTTTTTTTTTTACATTATACAATTCTAAATTACAAACTATAACCTGTCAGAAATAGCAGAGCTTAAAAGTAACACAAACTTAATGCCAATGCAGCCTAAATTCAATCCATGGGCATGTGCTATTTTTGTTCAGGCTCAGAGAATGTGCAGAGCCAGCAATAACATGCAGCTGTCAGGAAAACTGAAGGACACTTTCCTTCTGGTAGCAGCCCGGCCCCACTTCATCTGTAGCTACTGATCTGAATGGAGGGGGGTGGTTTGCTGTTTTGGTAGGTACATGATTCAATAAAGCAAATTAACATAGCACTGGACTTACACTGTAGCATTTCTTTGGTATAACTGTATTAGCAAAACAGATGCTTTCAACAGCTTTAGAATACACAGTTTCTTAAAAAGATATTTCATTATGGAAGGATCATCCTGAGGTAAACATGAGTTGTGACACCTCGCAGTAAGTAGCACAGGACATTTTTGATTTTCTTGTCTACAGAACATACAGCTAAAAGACAGAAGCAGCCATGCACTTCACCAATAGCACACCTAATTATTTGCTAAATGGCACAAACATGTTGAAAATCAAATTTTTTAAGATCTGTATTTTGCTAAAAATTACAGGCTAGAGGACTGAGGTACTATATCTAACTACAGTTCAGTTTAGCTTCCTCATCACCCCACACCCATAAAATAAAAAGTTGAGTCTGCTATATTACAGACAGACCTGGTTCTACTCAAGTTCTGCCTGAGCTATTGTCTGTCCTTTACCTTTATTAAAAATTAGTTTGAAGGTCTTTGCTGTGAAACACTGCCAAGAAATGTGCAGGATTGTTCTACTCCAGTGTAGGGAAAATAAGAGATGCTCCCTACTCTTTTGTCCTCTTTGTTTGGGGTATAGTATGCCTAAACAGAGAGGAGGAGAGGGATTTTTGGTTATATATTTACAGCTGCTGCTTTGTCTTTGTATCCTGTGCAGCCTTGTGGGGAACTTCACGGGGAGCTCCAATTAATTGGATTTACCAGACTGGCTTTTTGTTTTGGTTTGGGTTTGTTTGGGTTTTTTTGTTTGTTTTTGGTTTTTTTTTGTTTTGTTTTTTTTTAAACAACAAGATCTTATGATTATAACTAAATAGCAAGTTCAGGGCGTTTACAATGTGACCAACTACACAAGAACAGGAAGAAATTGCTTCCTGGAAAATTCTTATACTGCAAGGCATGGAGGTGTTACAGTTTTTCAGTGAAAATGGGAAAAGAGAATATTGAACTTGCTAAATTGTTCTTCCATTGAAATTTTAAAAGAAAACAGTCTGAGGCAAAGGGGTCACACAGCATACCAAATATTTCAGCCCATTTTTGGCACAATTATTAGCAACGAAACAGGGGGTTTGTTATTAAAACTGACAGGCATCAAGGGCAAGTATGAATTACAGATAAAATAAAAGCCTTAAAAATAATACATTTCTACACTTGTTTTTCTAAGTTAATCATAGGTACTTTGATACAAAGTCATCATTGCTTGTTCAGTGTGATTCATACAAACTATACAACTCTCTACTTGTGCAATATCTAAGGCATGTTCAGCAAGAGTTTTAAAAATGCCTTGGAAAAATACTTTCTAATCAGTGAATAAATATATGTCCCACCACATTTTCTTACCAGTAATCAAGATTATAAATTACCAATTTTCTCCACTTTTCTTTGAGGTATGCAATATATTGCTAACTGGGTAAGACAAAGTATCTATAAAAGACACAATGCTGTCAAAGACATTAATTTGATCCTATGTATGAATAGCCATGCTACAATTTCACTTGGACTGCATCTTACCACTAAAGTGTTTCCACAAGATTCCAAAGTACTCAGGTTGATGATGAAAATGACCACTGCTGGAAAGGTGTTGTTATTGATGAAACCCCTGCAGTGGGCATCCCCATGTTTCCCATTCAGTGCCAGATCTGTCTCAGAATAACCAGAGAAAAGAACTGTGCAAAAATTTATCTTCATAGTAATTGTCTGTACTCCACAGAAAACATTGATATCTCGTTCAGCTGCAAGAAAAATACAGGGAAAGACACTGTAAGAAGATATAAACTAATCACACATAACTATTGTAGCAGTTAATCTAGTGTTGTAATCTCCAATCAAATAAATTTTTATAACTCAGTCACAGCAAAATATTAGAATATCAAGGTTAGAATTGCATTATTCTGAAGAACAGATTTGACTCTACAACTTAACTAAATAAAATACCCCAAAATTAAAATAGTAACATAGTCTACCATGCAACAAAACCATTATTCTAAAATCCCCCAGCAAATCTTTTACTAGGATGTTTGTAAACTGAAGCACTGCAATAGATTAGAAAATAGCAAGCGGTTACATATTTGGAGTCTGATTAAACAGCCCCCCTTTGGAAAAGAAATTTCCAGTGATTTTGAGAAATTTGGGAGGTTAAGTTCTGCCTTCCAGCCCACTCTGGCATGGAAGTTGGCTACATTTGTCTAAGGTCACCAGGAGTCCACTTTGTATGAGATGACAATCTCAGGCCACGCAGACTTTGAAGTACAATCAACAGCATATCAGAGCAATTTATTACAAACTTTGGGAAGTAGGGCTTTTTATTTTCGTTGGTTTTCTTTTTGGTTTTTTTGTGGTTTGGGGGGGGGGGGGTGGTTTGTTTGTTTTGGTTTTTTGTTTGTTTGTTTTGTTTTGGGAGGGTTTTTAAAAGAACCATCAACTTTAGCTTTAATGAAAAATCAGTTGGCTCTTGAAAGATGATGATCAATACTACAAAGCATCTCGCAATCTTTCATTCTGTACATAATGACAACCCAAAAGCAGCAATTGTTAAAACTAATCAATTTCTGAGCAGCAAAAAAACCATCTTGGGTGCATTCAACTTCTTATTCAAAACTTCTGAAGATTGTTATGTACTGAGACGAAAAACGTCATGTTAGGATACAGTCAAGAGTTTGGTTTGCTTTAGAGCTAAAATATAACATGGCTTTTCTGTAAGGTCTTATTTTACCCGTAGATGACTGGGATGCTGTTCTGGTGTTTTCCTCTAGTGCTTTACAAAAAGACCTACTGCACTGTATTAAACACAGACATTACTTCTTTATATAACAACTAATTTATTACACCTGCCTAAAGATTAGGTGCTATTAAAAATTGCAGAACAACTTCAGTCAATACTATACCATTAAAACTGCCGGAATGAATTGTTTCACTGCATTGTCACAACAGAGAGGAAATGAAATCTCCATTACAATGAGTTAGTTCTTCCCCCCTGGTGTAGGAGCACAAGCAGTTTAATCTAGACAGCTTTAATGGTGGCTTTAAAGCCAAAAGAATCAAGTGAAGGCCATGATAAATGTTACTCACTGGGTGTAAATTAGGGCAGTGAGGTACCGGAGGCAAGACAGAAGTCAAAGAGACTTGGCATGAAATTCTGCTGGTTTGTACATGATCATAATCATGTACAACAATCAAGAAGCAGTAGGCCTTGTTTTTTTACTACAGGAGGAACTATTATGATCCATTTAACGAGTATGCTAAGGTAGAGGGGCCAGTACGAAAAGGCAAGTGGCAAAGTGTACATTTATGCTTACTTGGACCAATGCACAAGCAGTCAGGTTGTAACAAATTGCAGCATGTAATATAAAGTAGCTCAGTTAATTTTATAACTCACTTCAAGCCCATTGAAGAAGCAGGATATTAACTCCAACAATTAAGTTACCATTACCATGTGCAAAATTATCATTTGACACTACAGTAAATGAGACCACACAGTACAAACAGAACTTTAGTGTGATACAGGGGGATAAACAACCTTTCCAGACTGAACCTTTTCTGCCATCTACTTCACAAGGAAGTATGGCTGCCAAATTAGCCCATTCCTGAAATAAAATATTTTTTGTTCAGAAAATAATCTGAAACCAGGCACAAACACATCTAATGTGTCTTTAGATGCTAAACATACAGCTCATTTCTTGTCAATTTGGAAAGGTAAATATTATTCCTAAATATGTTAAAACAAACCAACTAAAAATAACAAACAAAGCATTTGCATTTCTGCACTAGAAGCTTCTGGTTTTCTGAGTAAGAGAGGAGAGATGGCGTGAAGGTTACATCATTCAGCTGATGAACCCCTAAATACAGACATCTCTGTCACAGAGTTTCCATACAAGCAAACCACTTGGTTTCTTTCTGACTTGAGTCACACAAGCCACCTCTAGCCAACAGTCCTCATGGATGTGTCACAAGCAAAAAAGAGTAAAGTTCAAGAGGTACAGAGATACTACAGTAACAGAGACCATCTCAAGTTAAGAACAGACATATGGTAGTGAGACAAATGTTGGGAGCTCCACTGCCTACTTCTTCTCTGGTACCCTTCCACACATTGCCAAGACCCACCCCAGAGCAGGCACCAAAAAAACTTCAGAGGACAGGAGTTGGCCACAAAACACTATTGATAAAAGTCATTCCAGCCAAGGAGTCATGCAAAGACACTCATAGTCCAAAACCAGCTTCTCTGTGTTTGTTTCCTGTTTGATCAAATCACTGCTTTGATACTGAAATAAAATGCATAGTGCATGTGGAAAAAGCCGCAAAATTCCTTAGCTTCTACTAAGTTTTCAATATGCACTTACAACAAGAGCCCCCTGAATTAAAACTGCATTTCCCAGCTAAAGACGGATTGCTACGGCTCCATCTCCCAAAAGCCTTCTAAAAATCTGTGGTTTACTGCAATGTAGAAATAAAGTTTTTTCTCAAGCTAAACTTTCTGAAGGATGTGATCTTTGGAACACGTTCAGCTTTTGGCATAAAAGTCACTGAATTTTCAATCTACCAAATATGGGGATATTTTTAATTCATTCCTGCTGACTATTGCTTACCTACACTCTAAAACAAACCTGCAAACTGCAGAAACAAAAAGCCTGTCTGATTGTCATCTATTTATGCAGGAGCATTCCTATGTAAGAAGTCACCAAAACAATGCATGATAGAAGAACAAACAAATGAAAAATGGATGAGCTCCATGGTTCCTTTAGGAAGGCTTAATTTTTCTTCTTTGCTGAAAACAACTTCCATTCTTAACAACCTTCAAAGAAAAAGAGCAGGTAACTTCAAAACCCAATGGTTTCTCCTGAATCTGCACACCATTCTTGCCCCACAGCTGGAATTCCAATTCACGGCGATGAAGATTGCTTTTGAGGAACAAAAAAGGAACAGGAAGAAAGTCTATCCACAGGCAGGGGCTGTGGATACTATCTCAGTACCCACACTGAGATGCACTTTAGAACAAGTGATGTTCTAAAACATTCTCCTTTATGATCTCTCTCTCACCTTTCCCCCTACATTTGGACTTGAAGGCCCTGAAGCAGCTCCCTCAAAGTCACAGCCTGAGCCAAGTCATGGGGAAGCAAGCACAGGAAGAGTGTGGCCCTTTTCCCTGCAGAGATTCTCTCACCCATCTTCTGAGATTCTTAAACTCAGAAAAATGAGCTCCAGTAGCCTCTCAGCTCCACTAGCTCCAGCCAGTTACATAGCAAGCTCTTCTGTATATTGAACATAATACCTGCTAAATTTGGGAACAAATGGCTTTTCTTGTTTTTACTTCCATCTCAAATGCATGACTAATAAGCAGAATTATTTTTCTTTCCTAGCTCTCAAAATCAGCATTAAGACTGTTGATTAAAGCCCAGCCTTTGGAGCTTGACTACCCTAGATGACAAATAAGAAAAAGCAGGACTCTGCTCTGAGTTTCTATGGGCAGTGAGGAGTGATTAGAATTTACTCTAAAAAAAAGTCTGTTTACTTGTAACCTAAGCAGATTTTCTCCCAGGTCACTGAGATTTGGCTGACATGGAATCTGATATGATCCTTTTTTATGAGACAGAACTGCAAGAGGCTCTTAAATATCCATAATAAGAGATGAATTCAATTTATACGTATTGCATTGCAAACAAACTTTGGTAGAGGGCTGGTGCAGAAAATGACCAGAGAAAAATTTTAAAAAACAGAAAGAGGAATTTAAACATCCATCCAGCTGTTATAATCCTCTCAAGAAGCCTGAAATAATTAAAAAAAAAAACAAAAAAAACAAAAAAAAAAAAAAAAAAAAAAAAAAAAAAAAAAAAAAAAAAAAAAAAAAAAAAAAAAAAAACACACACACACAAAAAAAAAAACACGAAACAAAACAAAAAAAAAAAAAACACGACCATAAAATAACTTAGGTAGATCTGAGGCAGGGGGCCACAATTCACCCACACATCTGAGGCAAGCCTATAAAACTTGTCTCTAAGAAGGGAAATATATAAGTAGCTTGTGAAATACTCAGTTAAACAATGATCTTCTCAGGAATGGAGACAATATATTTTATCTTCTTTGCATTTCTTCCATCTCTGTTCTTCATATTCATATTGATTAAATGGAAAAGGATCAAAACCACAGCTGGTCTTTATGCCTTTATGTCAAGGCATCTAGCAGTGTGGTGGTAACAAAGGAAACAAACATACTTTTTCCTGACTGAAGTTTAATAAAAGAGCTGACCCTTCCTGGAGAAAAAAAAAAAAAAAAAAAAAAAAAAAAAAAAAAAAAAAAAAAAAAAAAAAAAAAAAAAAAAAAAAAAAAAAA